AAAGCAAGTTAAAAGCCGGAGACGCCCACTTCCCGGCCTTCTGAAGTCTGTAAGCCTCCGCCGCCCCACCTCCTCCTTTTCTCATCGAAGCGTGCTTGCCTACTGCCTCTGCCGCCACCAGTGCCTAGGCCCCGGAGGGGATTATGCACGCGAGCAAGCGCCGCGCTCAACAGCATCCCTCCCGGGCCTAGGGCGCCAAACATGCTCAATCTAATAAACATGCTTAAATCTAATAACTCTAACGGCATTTTCCTTATGGGTCTCTCCAAGGTGAATTGAGGAAAGGAAAGATCAGCATATGTTATGCACTGTGCCAATGTGTGATGCTTTTAATTTGTGTCGCTCCAATTTGAAGTAGCAGTTGCTGCACCTCTGGCCCCTGCGGAGTCCATGCAGGTCAGGGAAATGCCTCTTTATCGACACATAATGAGTCCCTCAGACACTCGTCAGTTATTTTGGTTTGGCAGGCAGCTCCTCATCCCCAGGTGATAGTTTTTGTTACCTGCTGTCAGGAAAATACATCACATCAGCTCTATGTTGGGGGCGCGGCTGGATTTGTGTCTATGTGTCTCTGTTGGACCTCTGAACCTTTTGAGAAATGTGTGTGCATGTCTCTGCCCAGTCTTACAAGACCCAAGCATCAAAGATGGTTGTAAATGTCTTATAGATGGGTGAGAATATCTGCGGGTGAAGGAATGTAACATGTCAAAAATAGAAGCGCAAAAGTGCTTATTCCTGAAGAAACACGGCAGAGACAGGTTTTTCCCACACTTTAAATAGTCTTACAGGAAAAGCCTTTTCATGTGTTTGCACTGCCACCATCTTGTTTGTTTTTAAAATGTTCGGACCACTTTAGAAGCACTTTTAAATATAAAGTATTATTCAATTATGTTTTGCAGTTTCACTCTTCTGTCCTGTGTTGATTTTCCTTTTTTTCTTTGTTTTCAAAGATTGAAGTTTAGGCTTATGTATTGAAGACAGTGAATGGCCCTGACTTACTTACTTCCATCTCCCAGACTTCCCTTTCCAAACTCACCTCCTCCAGCTCATCCTCCAATCACTTGGCGTTCCCAGGCCAGTTCAGAGACTTCGTCCCTCCATCCTGTCCTCGGTCGTCCCCAGGGTCTCCCCCGTGTGGGACATGCTCAAAACACCTCTCAAGTTTGGCATCCAGGAGGCATCTGAAACACAGCCCAGAGCCACCTCAGTTATCAGCTCAAAATACTGTCCAAAAATTGCGTTTGATAAAATAAGCACTTTTACATGTACAGTATCAACACAGCTGGGATTACGTTCATTAAAAACAAAAAGTCTTTATGTGTGTGTTTGTTACCGTACACCTGTGATGAGGGCACACAGTAAAGCTGGACTCTCAGACTTTTATGTTTGTCATGTGAAACTGTATTTGCTGTGTAACTGTATATCTCACTGATACAATGTTTAACAGCTGTGTGTGGAAGAAAAGCTCCTGGGACAGTTTGAAGTTAAAGACCGGGCTCTGGACCAAAGTAAACCACTCTCCAAATGTCACATTTCTCTCTGGCTTCAGCGGCCAAGACAAACCCACTCGTGACATCACAACTTTCCAACCTTAAGGAGATCAAATTCTGCTTAAGAGAATTAGATTTGTACATATTTTAATACCTTATTGTTAGTCAGTTCTTTTGTAAATTGAAAGATGAATTCTGTCATTGGGTCTCAGGGTTCAGAAGCACAGCAGAAGCATTGCATTTTTAAACCAAAAATCCAACTTTCGGGAGGTCATCACCATGATTTCATATAAATATAAAGTTAAAATCATTCTTTAGTACATTCTTCTTTGGTCTATTGAAGACAAAACAATAACATTTTCCTGTACGAGCAGGCCTGTCTGAAATCTAGGTCATATTTGTGGAGATTTGTGGAGAGTATTTTTCTACATTTTTTACACTGTGAAAATATAAAACAGCTTCTATGTGAGACAACATGTCATATTAAGGCAACATGAATATTAGTTTTAATTGGACTGCATTGTCTGTACAGTCAGTTCTTTAGCTACACTCAGCTTCTTCCTTCCCTCAGAGCAGCCCTCTCTGACCTGGCACTGGCTTTAGCTGAGAGGGGCCTCCTGAGAGGGGGTTCGCCATTAGGGGAAACTTGGATCCATGTAATGTAGGTAAATAAATGCTCTGAATGAAGAATGCCTTTCCCAAACAGACCTCGGGCCATTGGAGCAACACTGTGCCCCAAATAATGCTTTAATTACTGTGACAATAATAATAATAGGACGCTCAGAGGAGTCACGGAGTTCAGAATGAAAAACAAGGCCTGGGAGTATCATCTGGAGCCTGACGCAGACAGCACGTGAAGGCAATCTGCTGAAGACAACCACAGAGCTGCACGGCGATCCAACATTCTGCAATTTTGACATCACCGCAGTATTTAGTCTTGGATCTGGAAGTGTCATACAGGTGTGCATTAGTTAATCAGATGATATGGATTATAAAATGGCTATAAACGCAAGGATAGGATCGCTCGCTGCAAATGTTTTGATCTGGATCTTTGGCTGGACATTTGGAGCGAGACGAGACCGGGCAATTGAGACCAGATGAGAGGACGAGTCAAAGGCCCGAGCAGATGCTGGAAAACAGACATGCACTCGGAATACTGTATCTCAAATAAGGCACGCAAATGGCTAGTGTAAAATATAGCTAATATTTCTGAAAAATTATGTTTATGTCATATGCAAGTGTCCTGTATCTAGCTTAATTTCCCGATATGAAAAGTTCCATTGCCAACTATAAAATACTTTTATTGGGCCTTGGATTCCAGTAGTAGAAGTAATAGTTTCTTTAGTCTTGGCTAGTGTAGTTTTGGTACGTTTTTCTCTCCAAAAAATGAAAACAAATGAAAACAAATCTTATTAAAAGCTTATTGCATTTCATTTCTATAATCAGAAAGTCATTTTTCACTGGCCCTCTTCTACTTTAGCATTTCCATTGGCTCTGGTTAAGCGGAATCAGGTACTTCTTAGCACCTGCTTTGCACAAGTTCCAGCAGGTACTAAAGGGGTCTCACTGTCAGGAATCTTTCAGAGAGTTTCCAGAACCATGGGAATCAGAGAATGCGCCTGGATATGGTTTGCTGTGGGTAAGTTGGTAGGATAGGGTATCAGATTCTAAAGTGCAATGTGCATGCAACCAAGTAGAGCTGGTGGAATCGAGGCTCAGTTGTCATGCATTGAGAGGTTCGCAGTAATGAACATATTGGATATTTATGTGAAATAACTTACAATGGTCTATGTCTTCCTTAGAAGCCTGGTGCTTGGACTGCAGTGAAAGGCAGACAACGCAAACCATCTTTATAACTCTCCCTTATGAATGATATATTCCCTCTGTGTGTCTTAGCACCTGAAAAGCCCATCACACTGGGAGGATTTTTGGGAAACAACCAGTGCATGAGGGGAGGGGGCCAAGGTTCCTGCTTTTCGTGGCTTTAATTTGTTCACCAGCTGCCAATGAAAATGACGAGGAGCAGCAGCATTTTTCTTTCACTTGACTCATGGACCCAAACCACACACATCTGGAGCCCCTGCTGAACAAGTGTAATCTTTACTGTATCGTTAAAGCAACACATGGAAGTGCTGTTTACACTGCTCCACATGAAGATATTGTTGTGAAGAGGATATGATGCTACAACTACTCTTCATATTGATGCTTCTTCATTACAGGATCATAAAAGTTTATTATTGATACATAAATTGTAGAGTAAAAAGAAAAACGCTTATCACCCAAAGTATAAAAGCACTTTGAGCACATCAATCTACTGATGTGTTCTCCCAAGTCAAGCCATATCTAAACCATGTGGAAAACAAGATTTTCCGGGTCTAAATTATGGCTAAACCAGGTTTGCACTAGACTATTTTTTACTGAAGTTCTAAATAAGGAATAACACAAGACAAAATGCTGAAGAGGAAATTACTCTCAATTAAATCTAGGGTTTTTTGCCCATGACATTTTGTTTGTCCCAAGAGAGGATTAATTAAATGTTATGTTAATGTTATCTTTCGCATAGGAGCCATGTTAAATTCAATTTATATTGCCCTAAATCACAACAGCGGTCGTCTCCGAGGACTTCACAAAGTTGCCAATTCACCAACAACAGATCCGACAATCAACAGTTTGAATACAATTTCAGTAATAACAAACACACAAGAGCCAAAGGGAGTGGGATGACCAACGTCCATAAATATAAATGTTAAAGGTTTATAGGTATATTTCTATTATATTCCAGGTGGATCATCAAGACTATTGGAGAGGGTGGTTCTGTCCTAAAATTTGGGAAAATCCTCCTACAGACCTTTAATTAATGTCCATGTGTAAGCAAGGTTATATTTTACAGACTAAGGTCACCCAAAGCGCTTTACAATTGTTCAAAGTCACTATTTGACGCTTTGGGCTTAGTGCTGATTGGCTGACTGAAGGTGGTGTTCTCTTTTTAACTTTTCTGTCTGAAAAATCTGTTCTAAAGAAGTGTGCACTGTTCTGAGCACTGGATGGATTGTTTTACATTCAGACTTTGTTGGTTTGAAAATTAGGTACCCCAGCTTTAAATCAACTGCAGTGGAATCCATTTACCATCGCTCAAGTATCATTAGTAGTACATGCACCATCATTTGAGAAACACACTTTTAAAGTCACTTGTGTATTTTTTTTTATAAAATATGGACTTGCTGACATCTGTCGTGGAGTGACGTCGCTCAAGGGGAAAGTGCAGCTGAAACTGAATATCCTCCTCACGCTGAGATGATGCAGTGTTTCAGGTGACAAGGAGGAGCCGCGCGTCTACCTCTGAGCCACGCGCACTTCCTGCACGCTCCAATGCAATAGTATATAAGAGACGCAAGAGAGACGTGTGCTGCAGCGAAACGCCAAACTAAGCTCTGCGTGGTCCCTGTATCACTACTATCACTATTAGCAGCACTTTTGGACGTGACACTGAGGCTGGAGCGCAGGTAGTCAATGCGTAAAGCAAGGTAGGGCTGCAGTGCATATGGAAGATTTTTTTTTACTTTTTGTATTATTATTGAATGCATCTGGCTTTAGAGTTCATACAAATCGTGGAGTTTTGAATAGGAAACGCTAAAACTCCGGATCTCAACATGAAGCTGCCTATATTTGTCCTAACAATCTTGTGCGTCTCGTGTGGAGCAAGTGCACTGGCCACGCGTATCTCTGGCGCGTCCGTGTCCTCAGCCGACAACTTATCAGTGCTTGGGGCGACACAGAATAACGGAACGGACTCGTCTATGTCCAAGAGCAGGAGGAAGCGTTATATTTCAATGAACGACAGAGCGTCTATCCTTGATTACCACAACAAAGTGAGAGGAAGAGTGTTCCCTCCAGCATCCAACATGGAGTACATGGTAAGCTTTCATTAAATATTACTTATAAAACGTGTGTGTCTTTTGTTACAAGGACTTTGAGCCACTGATTTTACTTGAAGTAGCAAAATCAACTGACAAATGACACTGTCAGCTGTTAAGTGGATAGGGTTTCAGCAGACCACCAGAGCAGTGACGTCCGTATAGAGAAATGAGTGAGACATGGCACCAGTGTCTAGCAGACAGAGTAAAGATGAGGGGACAGCCTGGTCACTTTTACCTCAATGACTCATTCCTTCCTCAAATACATTTCTGTTGACATTGCGTTTCTATGTTTAGATCTGCTCATGACCTAATGGGCATATTTTTTCAATATAATCAATCATACATCACAGTTGAGTTTGATTAATAACAGAATACAGTGAGGAAATATTTGTATCTTTTCCAATGGAACCTTATTCAGTGGAAGTTTCACCAGCTCCTGCTATGAAAACACCTGTCGCATAGCACTCAAAGTGGAATCTTATCTCACATGTCGCTGGCAGAAGACGAACAGCCTCTTTTTTCCGTACAGTTATGTAATTGTCTGTTCTCTGTGTGATTTCAGGTTTGGGATGACATGCTGGCCAAGACGGCAGAGGACTGGGCTCACGCTTGCCTATGGGAGCACGGCCCACCTTACCTCCTCCGCTTCCTGGGTCAAAACCTCTCAGTCAGGACGGGGCGGTGAGTGACCCATGACCCCACTCCTGCCCCTTATATCCCAACATCTGCTGCTCCTCTAAAGCACCGCGTTCACTCATTCATGGTTGTGCCCCGGCAGCTAACATCGCCTCTCTCTATTTTAAGTTTTTTTGCCCTGGTTACAGCTTGTGGAATGCTCCCGTGACCCTTCAAATAAACAAATGATGTGTTGCTAGCATTGACCTGTAGGACAAAGGTGCTTCCCTTTAGTGGGTCTTGACTTTCCATTTGGCATCTCTGGGTGTTTATTGAAGGACGTCACAAGGCACAAGGGGGTTCTGCTTGTTAACCCTCTGATTGGCAGTTATGAAAAGGTTATCCTCAGTAATAGTTTAGCTTTCTGTTAAGAGATGGGTTTAAAAGTTCCTCTTTTCAATTTTACGGGTGTCTGTAAGAGTAACACATTGTTGTTCATTCAAACGTTTAACTTACTTGACTTCTACTTCCCCCTAGTTAAATGCAGAAGCGTTCCACCAGGGTCGTGTCTCTGTCCCTGCTTTGTTTTGTTGCCCCCCTGTAAAGCTCGGAAAAGCAACCGAGATAATAGGTCAAACTCGGGTCAAAAAGTATCTATTGGACACTGTTTTTTTAATGACTTTTGTATACTAGGCAATCATTCAAAAAACAGCCCTTACTGGTTAAAATGGGAAAATATAACAAGCAAAAGTAAGATTAAATAGTGATATATCTGCTTAGGTTGATAGATTTTTGTATACAGACTTAAATATTGTCCAGAGTATATTATTATTCTTTATTACAGACTCGAGGTCCAGATAAAAAAAGACATCACAGCAAAAATTGAAAACATACTTACAAAAACAAATGCAGAAAACGAAAGTTATTGTTCTTGTATATATTTCATTGACATTTTGATTGTTGTTGTGTCCAGGTATCGCTCCATTCTGCAGCTGGTGAAGCCGTGGTACGATGAAGTCAAAGATTACACGTTCCCGTACCCCCGGGACTGTAACCCCCGCTGCCCTCTGAAATGCACAGGACCCATGTGCACCCACTACACACAGGTACAGCCGCCACCTGCATCTCTCATGACCTAACCTGACTAGATCTAACACGCTTTTGTCGCTTGTCCTGCAGATGGTTTGGGCTACGACTAACAAAGTGGGCTGTGCCATCCACACCTGCCACAACATGAACGTGTGGGGTTCTGTATGGAAACGGGCGACGTATTTAGTCTGCAACTATTCACCAAAGTAAGTATTATTCTTCCAGTCTTCCTGATTCCTGATTGAAAAACTCTTGTTGCAGAAGTCACTTGATCCCATTGAACTCAGTCACCTATACTGACCTAATCCTTTATTAGCATGATTATTAGTCTCCGCAAAGTCTACATAACTAACCCGACATAAGCTGGTACTGCCTGCTCCAGTCTTTCATAAGTCTTGCATATATTAATAAAAGCCCCCTGATCACAAAACAGTTTACAATATGGTTTTCTGTTTGAATAATGTGTGTTTTCTTATATTTTAGGGGTAACTGGATTGGTGAGGCTCCGTATAAAGTGGGTGTCCCATGCTCGGCCTGCCCGCCCAGTTATGGAGGATCATGCAGCAACAACATGTGCTTCCCCACACTCAAGACAAACTACCTGCACTGGTTCAAATAGACCGGCAGAACCCAGGAAGACCCCAGGTAGACCCAGACCTCCTCAGTACCAAGAGAGACTGGTACAGATTTGCACAACAGTTTTGGACCACCTTTTGTATATATGAACTTTTGAAGACACTCTCATTTAATGGCAGCAGATAACTATGCATTACTTCTATGTACAAAAATATTGTAAATAGATTGTGATAGTGTTTGAATTTGAAGAAATATAAGTCGTTGGTATTGTGTTCTCCGTACGTATGAGAGCTGCTCATTCTCACTCATTATGGTGCTGGAGGCTCACACCTCGGTGCTGCTGTGTGCACTGCCTCAGTGGAATGCTGTGATGTCCACATCAAAGCTGCACAGAGACGACCTGTACTATGCAAAAGACTCATGCACTCAAAATACATGCAGGATTAGACTCTGGTACAAAGACAGTTGATACTTCAGACTTTAGACGCTTAAAAGATTTGTTCCATATTTATCACAGTGTCTGTATTGTTCGATCACTGCCGCTGCACTCGTTCATAAGGTACTGCTACTCTGTAATAAACATGTCCTTCTATATATTGTGTGTACTTATGCATAATGTGTTATTATGATGTTTATATTGGACACCATGAGCACTTCAGTGCACCTTAACAGCTCCTAAAGTGTAAGACTTTGTGTATTTGTGGATAATCATTTATATCAGCAGGTATACTGTAAGTTATTCATTTTTATATGGGGAAATATTTAATAGTGTTTCATTGTTTTTTTTGTAAATTGTCTGTAAATATCTTGCTCTGAAATGGTCCATTTGCATGTCAAATTTCACCTTGTAAGCACTACCACAATCTGTATCCAGGTTTCATTTGTCACATGTCATGTATTGTTCAGCACTGATTTTATAGCATCAAATGTTATTTATGCTAATATAGCGCTTCTTTCTGATGTGTATTTTGTAATAAATCTATTTTGTTGACATTTATTTGGGTTTTGTTTCATGTTGTTACTTAATCACAATCATTATTTATAGTAGATACATATTCAAGTGTCTTAACTATAAGGTATCTCAGCTTTTTCATACTTATTCATACTGGCCTGTAGCGGAGCAGACAATCACCTACTTCTGTCAAATATCAAGTTACTGAAGCTGCTCTCTGCCAAAAGATCACTCTTATACAGATCTTCAAATCCTTTTGAACTTAGAGCCTTTAAAATCCTCAGTGAACTCACGTGTTAGAAACAGTCTGAAGGTTTCGAGGAACATCTGCCTTCATCGTCAGAGATAATGACAAATAGTTGGACCTGAATCCTGAGGGTGATGGCAGTGGCTCAGGGGGAGAGTCCTTTTGCATGGAGCAGAAGGATCGGACCAAACCCTTCTGTGTGGTTGATGATTCATAATTATTTGATTTATTATTGCAGTCTAAATGAGTAGAACTGGCTACAGGTACATTTGGGATTCGTGGACTGTTCCCTGACGTTTTTATCCAATATTATACTTCAAACCCCTTTCAAAATATCACCAGCTGTATTTAAGTCTTCTACAATTACCATCACTTTTGTTACCATGCACACACAAGAAAAGCCTAGTAACTTGACACCTAAATAAAATAAATCATGAAAATACAAAGCACATCTTGAAGTAGTGAAGTGGCAGTGCCCAGAGCCAGAACCATGGTCTGGATTACGAGAGAATCTTTGGACCCACAGAACACAAAGATTAAATGTACTGATTGCAATATATGTATTTTTCAAACATAACTTGATATGGTTGAACCGCACAGTCTCCGGACATGTGCTATTTCCAGCCACTGATGTCAGCTCCTTGAAGCATGTTTTGGGACCTCTCCAAATGTTGACACGGCCGTGCTAATACTCTTTTCCTACCATAAATCTCTCCTGGGGCAGCACTTGAACTTTGGAGTTAATGACAGGGTAATGTCCTCAACACAAACACAGGGCAACAAATAGATATGTTTCAGTGCGTATACAAAGGATTTAAATCTATTTCAGAGAATGTGTCATTTTTCCAAAGGTTTTCTGGTTAAATGTTTAATGACACAACAGACACATGAGCAGCAGACATTAACAGTTGTTATACTATGGGACTTTTTTACTGTCTACTGGTTGTTCCATGAGCAAAGAAGTCCCTAACATTAAACAAAATAAGTAAATGGTGGTTTGGAATGACCACTTAAATTGGACAGAGCTTATGTCTTTGGAAACCTCAAATGTCATTTTTCAGTGAAATTACATCCTTTTGGAATTTCTGTTATGACGGTGTTCAGATCAGTAAAGTGCTGTACACTTACACATGACATCATTCATCATTATTATCAATGATTATTCCACTATAAACAGAACTCACCAAATGAGTTCAAAATAATCATCATTTGTCATGATAATAATGATGAGTCGTGATGAGGTTTAATTAACATGAATTGATGAACTCATGATGAATGACCATGAACTCATATGAAGCATTGAACTCATCATGAACTCATCATGAACTCAGCATGAAATAAGGCATGAGGTCGTCATGGTTTCATAATTAAGTCATGATGAATGAATGCATTATTTCGTGTCTTGTAACATTCCCCCACATTGAGACCACATCATGTGTGTGAAAGACCAACACAAATGTGAAGTGAGAGCAACACAATTCAGCATTTCAACATTTAGATAAATGGGGCTTTCAAAACTATTCAACCTTCTTTACACAGTTAGCACTTTGTGCAACCTGAAGTTGCTCCAATTAGGATAAGTTAAGGTGCCGCAGCGACATACAGGACTGTAGCTAAAAGCAGACAAGTACCACACAACCTAGATAAGTAGTTATAAATACTGCAAATACTTTGGATAAACTTCGGCTTCAGACACCCAATGGTAGTATTGCACACGATCGCAGTATTCATCATTTCCAGAAGAATGTTGTGCACAGAGAAGTACAGTAGAAAGTCTTTATAAGCTTTGCACATCTTTGCACAACAGCATGATGCTGCCACCACCAGGTTTGACGAGGAGAAGGAGTGAGTAGACTGATGAGCAGTGTTAGTTTTTCACCACACAGTGTTTTGGGTGAATGTTTTTATAAATTAAATCATGCATCATTTTGCTTTTTCCCCACCATTCTGTGGTGCTCTTTCACACAAATATGGATAAAAAAAGGTCATGGGGTATGATTATTTACACGTCATTGTACGATGCGCTTTTATAAAACATGTTAAATATTGATGTCATGAGTTAGTGTCATTCTGATTGAAAGTTGTTTGGAGAAAATCCTTACATGCAAGTGGAGAGACACTGACACCTAGTGGTAGGACTATTGACAAATGGGTAATGATATCAGACAATGGAACTGAAGAAGATAGAAGATAATCCTTTATTCGTCCCTCAGAGGGGAAATTTCAGTTTTGATGAATACACGTATACACATGAAGGCATGCAGCAAACAATTACTTAAACGCTCATTACAGACAAAGTGGGGTAAAGTGTCTTGCCCAAGGACACAACAACAGAAGACATCAGTGGGAGTTGGTGGAGAAGGCCTGCGGTGGGCTCGAACTCACGACCTTCCGGCCCAAAGGCTCTGCCAACTGAGTCAATGTTGCCCCCAAACTGTTCAAATTTGTCTCCATCACTCAATCCAGTAATATGTGTAAGTAAAAGTTGAAGTAGTATATATACGGTAGTAAATGTATGTATCTATTTGAGAACATTGGCTCAAAGATAACGCAAACGGAAGCAATATTCCCACCTCATTACTTAATAACAGCCAGGTTGACTTGTAATGTTATGTAATGGACACTAGAGGGTAGAGGCAGACAAAGAAGGCTCAGTGCTATGGCCTTATCTGACTGTGTGGACTTTGTAGAGACAGGCAGATTCCGAATAAAATAAAATATAAATTAAAAACATAATCCCATGTCCTTAGTATCGTAGCTCTGAGACATAGTTGCTACAGGTTGAGTAAAACAAATATCTAAACGTTTGAAATACTCAATATATAGGTACTTTTGCCGAAGTCAATGAAACAAGACGGAGCGAGGAGGATAAGCAAGCATATTTTCACTGATTTGGATGCAGCCCAAGCTTGAGAGCCAAACCACCCTAATGCACCCTGGCCCCGTATTCACCCCTCGGTTCAATCCGCGCCGCAACCTCAATTCAGGCCCAACCAAAACCATTAGGAGCGATGCAGCCGATAACAACAGTCTCCTCCTCTCTGCTTGTGCGAGGCTCCGAGTCTGCTGATCGAGGCTACTGTTGCATTGTGTTGTTTGGATAGTTCTTTGGCTTTGGCACGGATTTTACATTCTGCTTTGGGTTCATTGGGTTTCTCTGTGCAAAACTTTTGAGCATATTGCTATAGGCCTAAATGATTATTAGTTTTAAAATGTTAGCTGCTAAATGGCTTTGTTGATTCTCATGACTTAAAGCTGGGGCACCTATTTCCCCCTCCCAGTCAGTGATATATATTAAGATTAAGAGATCCTTTATTCGTCCCACAGCAAGGAAATTTCAGTGTTGCATCACAAGTTACATAACAGTAGGAGCACACAGCATAAGATAAGTGAACAATAGCCATACTAATTAAAATAAAACAAAGTTGAAAGCTGATTGGCTGATTGAGGGTGGTCCTATTTTTTTTCTTCACTTTTCTGTCTGAATTAGCTAATCCAAGGAATTATCAGAGGATAAAATTGCATGCATGGGGAAACAGACCCAACCTTTTTTGAGAGTATGGAACTTATAAGTTAATATTAATTTTATTACAACATTCCATTTATTCAGGTTTGAAAGGTAGTGCCCCAGCTTTAAGGTTAAGAACAAATATCACAAGAAATGTCGGTAGAACCACACAGTATAATCACTTTTGCTGATCTCCCTTGGGTGAAAACTGTATATATTTACGGCAGCTCTTGTGGGACCTTAATCATAGCCTTGGTTGACAGTTACAGTTGGTTTGACCTGATTCATAGCAGAATAAATCCCACATTGGTTGATAAATATTTCATTTTTATAGCTGGGTCGGAACAGTACAGTCACAGTTGTTCCATCGCAATGTGATAAAGCATATACTGTATGTGACAACAGGCCAACCAAGACAAGTGTATTTCCTTAGGTAGGATTTATTACTCATAATAATGCCATTTATTACAAAGGGAAGTTGAAAAGACCTATTTTTATATGATTCATCATAGGAGATTGGTGTGAAAACATCTATCTACAAGTGAGACAATCTGGAACTTGGATTCAAATAATCCAAACAAAACTTGAAATGTCTAAACGTCAAAGATGTGTTCATGACTTGAGCAACATCGCACGTATCAATTTCACACTCTAAAAACAGGTGCTGATGGAGGGGTTTGTCCAATTTTCTGGCAGTTCTTAAAAGAAACATCAAATATTCAGGAACGATGCCAAATTCAATGCAGCTCTACATGTGCCAATACCAGCTCTGTGAAGTGAACTCCGAATGTAGAGTGTGTGCAGCAGATGAATGACTTTGCTTGGCCGCTGAGATCCTCCCGGGACTTATAAGCAAAACAGGACTGCTGCTATTTCAGCTGTAGGGCAGAGGGGGGGCTGTGCTCCGACCACCGAGAGGGGAAGGTGAGTCTCCCTGAGACTGTATTATACCTTTTCACATTTCTATTTACTTCTCCTTCAATCAGACACATAATCAACATGGTGGAGATTTCGTCACAACATAACAATTACTGAGGTCAAGATTACACAAAGAAAGAAAGATAAATATTATAACCTCATATTATACAGCCATCCAATTTCTTTCTCTGCATCCATTGCCTTGTCCCAGTGGGAGATGTCCGGCACATCACCTCAGGAGCCATTAGAAACAGATGCCAAAGCCACCTCAACTGACTTCTCTCAACATGGAAAAGCAGCGGCTCTACTCCGAGCTCCTCCCATGTGACTGAGCCTATCATATTACTCTCCAACAGCACTGTGTTTCTTTGTGTTGGACAATTCCTTGTGATTTTATGCACTTGTTCTGAGTCAGTGCACAAGCCCAGGTCCCAGAAGAAACACAATGTAAAACATTTGGTTGTCATAGAAACAGACTAATTAACTATGAAAGCAAACTGTAGCATGCCTCCTATGTGTGCCTTTATTATGTTTGTCAGATGAAACAGTGTGGGACTGTTGATTGTAGTGCGTGTGCAGGGGTCTGCAGAGGGGGGGTCTGCAGTGGGGGCCTATTAGCTACTGTTTCCACATGAGCAGGCTCCAGTGAGAAGGACCAGAGCAGAGACAATCTTTGTGTTTACTGTAAAAGAAACAAGTGCGGTGCATACGTGAGAGGAAATGATGACGACAACATACCTGCCCTTAACAATGAGGGGTTGTGTTTAACCCCCAACAGCAGCGGCCTGTGAGCAGTTAGGGGCTACACAAAATGAGGGCATTTTGGGAACACAGACCCCCGAGGAGAAGCTGGCTCTGCTTTAGATTAGTTTAAAGGATTTGGGACACGTGAAGGCAATGAAGCCCAGAAGCTCTGTTTATATTTTGCATTCATTATAGAAGTGATCCATTACTTGTACAAGAGAGCATTCAACTTTATACACTTTACATACTTTAACAACAAGCAAGCGATGACATCACTATGTTAAAGGGGACATCAACCAATTATGTTTTTATGATTATTTGACTCTTGTGGTTCTTGATTAAATATACGTACTCATGAGAATATAAATAACTCAAGTATACATTATTCATGCCTGAAAATACATCATTATGAGTGTAAATAACAAGGCAAAAGCACCATAACAAAGATCCACATGATGTGAGCACACAGCACTTAGGTAGATCCACACAAGACAATAACATTTCAGCTACAAGCAGGTGCATCTTACATTTTTGGGAAAGATTAGCCTTTTTAATAGCTTAGATTGAACATACTGTTTTATATATATAGTTATTATGCTGCCACAAGTGATGGATGGATACTAGTTAATTATTTTTAGGATTATGATTATTGCCTGGTCTATTTACAGTCTCAAACAAGGCATGTGCTGAAAGGGGAGATTTTATGACGCAACAGAGCATTTGATTAAAGTCTGGGTACCTAACTTTCAAACCACAAATTGAACAGAAATCCATGACAGTTTGGTCCTCTCGCTAGTTTTCACATGGATGTGTTTTTGGCCTCAGTCACATCTTTAGAACAGCTTTTTCAGACAAACAAGTGAAAAGAGAAGGCCATCCTCACTCACCTCTCATCCCAAAGCATCCAGCAGCGACTCACTTTCCTTTTTGTTTGCTTCTTTTACGAGACTTATTCTGTGAAAAACGATGTATAGTTTGAACAGTTCTGTTGCAAAAACAAATATTTGAACGGCTCACAGTTTGCCGTTTATCAAGTAGCAAGTAATCTTTATGAATATAGCATCTTTCACAGACCAGAGTTACAAAGTGCTTTACAATTGTTTAGAGCATTTATCTCTCACTTCACACAGAGATGGGAGCGGGGTCGCCATACAGCATACCAGACCTATACATATGTTTTGTGGCAGCGGAAACCCGGAGCACCTGGAGGAAACATACGCGGACACGAGTGTGCTAGAGCAATTTTAGTGCCATGATACCAATTAAATTTCAACCCTACTTAAGCAAATACTTTCAAATGTACTGCCAAATTTCAAAATATGTTGAAATTTGAGCAAAAAGAATGCCACATTTTGACAAATTTTCCAAAGGGTCATATCCGTTTTTATATATAACCATTATCGAACAAAACAGTAAGTTGGGTATACCAGCTTTAATATTGATTTCCTAACCTGTGGACCTCCTCAAGTCTTCCAGCAGTCTATAGGTGAAACGCTGCCAAAATCCCATAACTACAGGTCTAATAGTAAACAGCGGACCCACCTGGTGCCTTCTGCAGAGTGGGGAAAGGGCTGTCAGGTTCGCGGGGGCGGGGTCAGAGGCGGCGCACGTCACGGAGCGCAAAGTTCGGGATAAAGTGTCCACGGGTGATGCTGAGGCGGTGTCGGAGCATGAACTCAGCAGAAGAAACATCCACGCTGCCTCTTTACTTCATCCACAACTTTCCTCACGCATTGTTGCCATCTTCCCGTGTTTACTGCTGCAGTTTTCATATTGGCTAATTTCCCTGGAGACGCGCGCCCAAGCTCTCATTAAATGTAAGTTTGCTATATGCTTTTAATTGCTGTGTCGTGTTTGTAAGCACGCAGACCTGTCAGTGTTGCAGTATTCATTAGCACATCATTATTATAATCTTAGCGTAGATGTGATTTGCATATTTATTTAGACAGGGTACCTAGTTTTTTTGTTTCATATGTATTGCATTTGGTATAAACAGAAAGAAAGTCAAAAAAATGACAAATCAGATCACGGTAAAATGTCATCTTTTCCCTGACGTTTTGGGCTGAGAGCTGATGGGCTGAGTGAGGTCCTTCCATTTTCACGTTTCCGTCAGAAAAAAATGATCTAAATATGTGACAGAGGTTGAAAACATAAAGTAGTGATAAAACTACCTATTAGTGGGCTGAGTGGTTAGCCCTCTCGATTCTCAGCAAGAAGGTCCTGGGTTTGAATCTCGGTCAGGGCCTTTCTGAGAGTTTGCATGTTCTCTCCTACCTCTAAAACATGTACAATAGGTAAAATCCTCTTTCTCTGGTAGTTCTGACCAAGCCGGATATCAATATCTGGAGATTGGTCCCCTGTTCTTGAAAGAGGCCATAGCGGCGATGAACGATGGGTCAAATGCAGAGGACAAATTTACCTATAGCGGGACAATAAAGTACAACTTAAAGGCAAAATTTTAAGAAAAAAACTTTAAAAAACAAAAACTCTCTGATCTTGTCAATCACCAGAATGATTGATAATTAGGAGGACCAATAGTCTGGATGATCCACCTGGAAGTAGAAAATCCTCATGTATCTTTTAAACTTATGACATAGGTACCCCAGCTTTAACAGGCTTGGATTTTCCTGCATGGATGCCCTGGCACAGAGAAAACACTATAACCTCTCATACAAGTGTAACTAATGTATCGCTCTCATTATTTTCTTCTCACAACAGATTTAACAGAAGTCTCTCCATCTTTTCACGACAAACTTGACACTAACAAGATGCGGCTGTTGCCCACTCACTGGTCCGAGTGCAGATCCATGCTTCTGCTGTGCCTCATCCAAATGCCTGTATCCTTTGCGCTGCCCTTCAACTCGAGCCTGGAGCAGATGCTGGACAAGTACATGGACGAGGATGGAGAGGTGTGGAAGGCCAAGCAGAGGGGCAAGAGAGCCATACGAGACAGCGACGCACAGCTGATCCTGGATCTGCACAACAAGCTGAGGGGACAGGTCTACCCCCAAGCGTCCAACATGGAGTACATGGTGAGTGCATGGAGGAAAGTCAGAAAAATCAAAAATCTTCACTGTAAAATTAGAATATCCGGTCCACCTTAAAATGGCCCCAAATAACCTTGCTTGACATAAGCTCAGTACTGTCCATTGCAACACTGAACCCCCCCCCCCCCCCCCCCCCCCCCCTTTCCCCATAGGACTAAAAAGATTTGAAGAGGATATAATCTAATCAAACTACTTCAAGTTATTAAAGCAATATCGGCCCATAAGGTGAATAAAACTAGAAGTTTGAAAAAGAACAACAAAAATAATTGTTGTAGTAAAATAGGAATTTGAAATAATATAAATGTATTTTGAGTCAGTTAGACGTGTTTGGTTGACTCCACCACTCAAGGTTAGTGCCGATTTTTCTGTTTAACTCAGAGTTGGTCAAATAAATGTACTTCCTTACATTTCCACATTAATAGCATGATGAAGCTTGGCAGTTTTCTTGATTGCGGTGCCAATCACTGTGACATTGACGTCTGCGTTCCACCTGCAGAGTGGTTTTACATTTACCTGTGCTTTCATTTGAGCTTTAATATAATACATATCATTATGCAGCTGTGACCCCATTTCCAGTCCTGCTTTGCATTAGCATCTCAGGTGATATAGTTTGACCCAGTAACCAGCAGACGGACTGGCACTGGTGGCTTTTGGCCTGGTCATAATCAGCATGCCAGCAGTTCCTAAGCACCTCCACACCAGAACTGCACTTTCTTCTCCCATAAGTCAGAGCCCATGTGACTCCCAGTACTCTGCCAGCCCCGAATTCCAGCACGCTGCCAACGATCACATTACTACTGTGTTTTTTCTTACTCATGCTAAGAGATTTGTTTGACTTTATCCTTTCTCCATCACGTGTGCATAGAGCAGCGTATCGCATTTCAGAGCGCAATTAGAATCACTGGGGGCTTATTTTACCAGCTGGACCCCCCCCCTCCCTGTCAAGCATATGCCATTTACATGCATACACACATGTAGTCAGGGCAAATCTCTTCGCCAAGAATCTGGAACTTCTCCAAATAAAGGCATGAAATGACGGCTGCAGCCCGTGGCCTCTAACTCTGAGGCTTGCAAATCAATACAGTGTGCAGATTTTATAGTCTCCTTTTAATCACTGTTTCATCTCGACTCAAATGCCCTGAAAACAAAAGACTTACTCTGTGGTTATGGCAAATAAACATATCCTGCTGGGGGCAATTGCTGGACTGTGTAATTGTATAATTGAGAGGTTAGACTTAACGACCCCTGGTGTAGTGTGTGCGCAGAGGGGAGCGCTCTGCAGAAGTGCTGAGCCAGCGGCACAAGGCTCCTTCGCTGTCTCCTGTTACAGCTGGCTGGCTCCTTTAGCTGCAGGGGCACCCAGGGGTGAAGCACGAAGAGCCGTGCAACAAGAGGATCGGTTTGGTGCGAAGACGAGAGGGCAGCTTTAGTGAGGTGATGACAGATTAGAATAGAATAGGAATTATAGTTGTGAAAATGAGAGAAAGGTAGACTTATAGTAGCACTCTTATTAAAAGCAAGCTACACAATCTCTGTAACCATTGTACAACGGGTCTACCACCTGGAACAATATACTATATTGCAATCATAAATCAGCAGAATTCAATATTTTTTTATAGCCTATATGCCCTTTTCTACATAGTTTCAGTATAGTTATAATCTGGTAATATTTTACTTGATGATGATTTTAATAACCAATATAATTTCTTACTGGTACTGAAATACTGTTTGAAATGGCAACACTACGACCCCATAAAGGCTCTCATACCTGATCTTACATTTAATTAGTAAATACATCAAAATTAGTAGATTAAAAATATTACAGACTAAAATTTCAAACTTGATTTTGATACTACAATAAATAGGCTTGATGCCATTTTCAATACTACAGTGATTCGAATATGCTGTTTTTGAAGTAGTGATAATTAATAATGTAGTCCTATGTGAACTTTTGTAGTTTCTATAGTTTCTCTATCTAGTTTTATTGTTGATTAATGTCTGAAGTTCTATACTTTTGACAGCCAGCTCAGTACAGACAGCTCTTTGTGCATCCTGCAAGTTTTCTATTGCTGGTTATTGTGGATCAAACCAGCGTGTCTGTGCCCCTCTGCAGCAGTCTGTTGGATAACATCAGTTCAAATCCCTGTCTTTCCTCCCACTTCATCTGTTTCCTCTCCGTCTCTTATCCCTATGGCTGCGTTCCCATTCTGTCATTATACAACCCCACCATCCTCCTAAAATCTTGGATACGCATTCACACTAAAAACTCTGCCAAAGACTCAAAGCAGTGAACGGGGACCATGGTTCAGCTTGACCCGAAGGTAGAGACAGAGACGTGTGAGTGTTTGAAGCACCGCTGGACAAACAGATGCATCATGGGAGAAAAACTTGCCTACATTTGTTTACCTTGGTCGTTCCGGGCAACGGGCCCAAGGTGCTGGTGGTGTTAGCGGTTTGGATAGACATATTTCAGGTTACACATCATTTAGAGTGAGCAGCCGCCACTGGTCCTCTTTATTTAACTTAAATAGAGTGACTTATTAAATGTAAAACGTCTAGACTTGTAAATTTGTCTTCAGTTGCTACTGTTGGATTTAAAGCGTGTGCTGGTATGGTCATGCAGGGTGAATCCGATCACAGCTGGTCAGAAGAAAATACAGATGAGTCGACAATAAGGAAAGTTACTGCATGAGATTAGAGCAAAATACCTTTGAAGCTAAATGTTGAAACTATTTTTGCAGCTTGTGGCTCATATTCACATTACTGACGACAGCATTATATTTATTCATGGGTTTTTGTGTTTAGAAAAAATAGCACCATTCCCAGAGCAAATGAAAATCTAAAATAAATGAGTGATTTCTAATTCAGCGTGCAGGCCAATATTAAACAAGCATCAATGAGTACGTGTACACTATATAGTATTTTTCATAAAGGTTTTTTTATGTTCTTGGGCATGAATGGAATTTGTTTTGCATTTAAGTGAGTAACTTTTTAGAGAGAATATTCAAATTTTAGACCCACCCATCCTCATCTCATGCGTCCTAATTGGAAAAAATAAATTATTATCCTTGATTGACAGACCGGGTTTTGCTCACTACTGGTCTAACCGGTGCTCTCCTTGGAAAACTGACTTTCCCTTCTAATGCATTCAAAGTTAATTGGATCACCTTTAAATATTTCAATCTGGAGAGACTACTTTAAATATTTCAATCTGGAGAGACTACTTTAAATATTTCAATCTGGAGAGACTACTGTACACAGAGACAGAAAATGCATTAAATGATTTATTGATTTGTTTGTTTGTTTGGCACCCGAGACCCGAGTGCGGCACTTTGTCTGCGAAGATCCTTGCTTGTGTAACGCATATGGTCCCCCGGGGCTTAGGTACTGGTGGTGGCATAAGGGCGAAGCTGGGATGAGAGTCCGAGGAGGAGGCGGCGAGGTGGTTTTTGCATGGGTAGGAAAAGCGTTAGTTGGTGGGAAGTTTCTGCTTTTAGACTGCCGGCTTGATTGGCAGACATGATGGCAGACAAGTTGGCAGCGCTGAGTGATAGACTGAGGGTGACAGGGGCACTGCTTGTTGTGCCTATCGAAAAAAAAAAGAAAAAAGTGCAAAACAAAGGCAGCCTCCATAGAGTTTGGAATGTAACCACATGACCAGAAACAAGAAAAAACTCTCCACAAAATGAAGTGTGAAGCGAAATAAACAATGCAGTGTACACACTGCCGGTGAGGAGCTGAGGTGTTTTTCTTCAGGCCCCAGGCAGGAGTGTGGTCAGGGAGGGGCCCGCGGTTGGGGGGTCCTTGTTACCCGGCCTCCCCTGCTGCGGGCTGACAAGACGACTGTGCGTTATAAGTGCTCCAAAGCCGACGAAATCCACTACTCATCTTATTTCACCCACATAGCAGCTGCTCAGCCTGATTGGTCCGTTTTGTGGTACATATGGATTCCTCGGCAAAAAAAAAAATATTGCTTCAAATGTTTGTGTTCTTGTTTGAAGTGTATACAAAAAAATCTTATAGAGCCTATAGAAAATGTGGGAATAGCTGCCTCTAAATTGAGTGTATACAATAATGAGGGTGGAAAGCCCAGCAACATAACAAATTATTTTAGTGAACATAGACTTTACGACAAGCACAAAAATATATTTCATCGCTTCAAACCAACTGCTTTAAATGGCTTTTGGAAAGACACATCTGTATCCGTGCGTGATGAGTGTGTGTGAACTTGATATGAAAGTGTGATCCGGAGTGAAAGTTAAGAATGGGGGATGGGTAGTTTTATAATAACGTGTCTGTGAACTTGAATAATGTCTTGTCGGATAAAGCAGGTATCACGGTCAGGAATCCAATGGAGCTGTAATCGTTCAATGAAATTATCGGTCGACTAAAGAGTTGACCAGTTGATCGATTAGTCGACTGAAAAGGAGGCGTGGCAAAAGCTCTAAAAGCGACAAAAAAACATTCAGTAGATAATCTTTATTAATACTGGATACACATGTGTTGAATCTGACTTGATACTCAAAGTACATACCAAAAAGTAAGCGTCAAACAGTTAAAGGGGATGTCCGCAACTTCAATTGGATTTCATTTTCCGATTAATTTTTTACGCCAGTTTTTTTGACCATATCATATGAAGTGAGTATTTTTCAAAATGGATGTGTTTAATGGCATGATTGATGAATTTTCTGGAGGAGAATAGTTGGACCAATAGCGAGAGTAGATAGTATTGACACCAGTATTGAGCAAGTGGTGAAAAGGTGGTACTGCACCCTAAAAACTCCCCAGAAAGGGGACGGCGCTCTTGAGCAAGTGGTGAAAGGTGTTACTGCACGGTATTTTTCAAAGAGTTTTAATGAGTTAGCTTCAGTTGACCCTGTGTGTGTGTGATAAAGTAAATGCTTCACAGTTGTCTAAAGTGATTTATGATCACGGTTTATTCTAAAACAGTTAGGAATAGCTAAGCTGCTGGGGAGGACCTGTTAACGACACTTAGGTGTATGTGTGTGATAGCCTTATCATGATGACGGTTTGGAGGGAGTACTAACAACAAATCAGAATGGGTGGTAGGATGGACCTGCCCCGGCCTATCAACGTAGAACAAACAGTGTAGGCGAATCATGATGAAGGCGGTGGGAGGACTATAAAGAATCACTAGAGTGACGCAGATCCCTTTCTCAAACTTTTTTTTTTTCATATGAGTTTTTCCTTGCTGATGCAGGATGGGTTTGTTACACAGTTATTGAGAAACTAGAAGGACTGTGGTGATGAGCCAGGACACTTTTAATATTCTACAACATGTAGTGGTCTATAGTCTTTATGTGTTTTAACTGCTGATTCTCCGATCTGTGTTGGTGATTTTCAGTAGTTTTTGGTAAGTCCTCTGAGATGACTACAGTTGTGATTTAGGGCTATACAAGACTAAATTGTATTGTATTGTATAGGTGTTTTTTTTATTTTTTCCAGATCCCTTTCTCAAACTTTTTTTTTTTCATATGAGTTTTTCATTGCTGATGCAGGATGGGTTTGTTACACAGTTATTGAGAAACTAGAAGGACTGTGGTGATGAGCCAGGACACTTTTAATATTCTACAACATGTAGTGGTCTATAGTCTTTATGTGTTTTAACTGCTGATTCTACGATCTGTGTTGGTGATTTTCAGTAGTTTTTGGTAAGTCCTCTGAGATGACTACAGTTGTGATTTAGGGCTATACAAGACTAAATTGTATTGTATTGTATAGGTGTTTTTTTATTTTTTCTGTAACAAGAGGTACTGCATCCAAACTCTGAAAGAGCGACACTTAGGTGTGTGTGTGTGTGTGTGTGTGTGTGTATGTGTGATAACCTTATCATGTGGCCCAGAGTGTTGCACTAAAACAATAGGGGGATAGTTGTTATTTTCCAACTGGTACACCAGTATGAACGACCCGTGTGAAACTCACCTGATGACAAAGGTTCCGTGGAGCAAAAACACATATATTTTTGTGGCGTTTATCAATCGTAATTAATGCGTTATAATCCTAACCCTATTCATAAGGTAGTAGTCTCTATATCAATTTAATTGTCCAATACAATAAAAATAAGAACCCTATATACATATATGTACACAGTTTGAAACAGAGTAGGTAGATGTGAAACTAGGGTCCTTGGTACAGGTTTTCTTTTACGCGAGATCAAATGATTTAAAGGCGTACATCTCTCAGATATACAATTGACACTTGTTACCATAAATAGTCATCTTAAAGACTGATTAAACAACCATATTACATACCTTAAACATTATGTACAACATTTTACCAAAACACAAACCAGTAATTAAACATTATGTACAACATTTTACCAAAAC